CCCCCGTGCCGGCAGGGCTCTGCCTGTCCTAGCAGAAGGCCGGTGCCGGCTGAGCCTCGGCAGTCCGGGAAGACAAAAGTCCTCGGCACCCTGAAGTGTAATTAACTGGGATAAGGAGCGGGGGAGTGAGCCAGGCTCCGTTTTAAATACCTTCAGTTTTCAGCTTTGTAGGAAGCCAAAGGGGGCCAAAGATGACATTTAATTAAATGCAATCCACCTCTTTCTTAGAGATGCTTTAAACCGCTTTTTTAATAAATTCCTGCTCACCAGTGGGGATTGCTGTATCGGAGATTCGGCAGCATGTCTGCTGTAAGATGAAAGAGGGAGACAAGGGCACGGCTGTCCCTTGGGCAGCCCAGAGATAATCGTGTGAGACATGTCAGGCGCCCATTAGACTCCACTCGACAGCGCTTATCCCAAATCTGCCGGCTGGGTAGTTTTAGCAGTACGGAGATGATGTGCTGGAAGAGTGCGTGTGGGTCAGAGGAAGGATCTCCCATCCCATGGGAGAGATCCCACCCCATCGTAGACAGGACAGGCTCTTCTTGGCTCCCCCCACCCCCCCCGTGACCTGCTGGGCTTCCAGTCACAGATCTCAATCAACGTCGAGGACTGCGAGGACACGAAGGATGTCAAGGAGCACTGGGGCATCAAGACCAGCCACCACAGGAACTCGTGCTCCAGCGACCAGTCCGAGCACCCGCTGCTGCGGCGCAAGAGCATGCAGTGGGCGCGCCGGCTGAGCAGGAAGGGCAACAAGCACTCCAGCAAGACGGCCGAGTGGATCAGCCAGCAGCGCCTCAGCTTGTACCGGCGCTCCGAGAGGCAGGAGCTTTCCGAGCTCGTCAAAAACCGTATGAAGCACCTGGGCTTGCCCACAACCGGGTACGGTAAGTGCCGTTCGGTTGCGCGTCTCTGCGGTGGTGCATCCCGCTCGCGGGCTCCTCAGGTAACCCTGTGCCGAGCCTAACCCCAAGCTGAGCATAACCCCAAGCTGAGCCTAACCCCATGCCGAGCCTAACCCCAAGCCAAGCCAAACCCTGCGCCAAGCCTAACCTCGCAGGTGCTGCCGGGCCCAGCTCCGAGCGGCGCCTCATTCCCCAGCTTGCTTGTGCTTCTGCGGACGAGCACGTTCAAGGCTGGGGTGCCGCAGCGCAGAGCCCCCTTGCCTGCCACCCCCCGGCCGACTGCAGGCAGCCACCCCCGTTTCAGGGCTCTGGGACAGGTCCAGGCAGGAATTTGCAGCAGCAGAATAACTCTCTCCCTTCTGCCTGCAGCTGGATCGAGCACCGCGGTGCAGCCTTCAGGCGTGATGCCCCACTTGCCCCCCGGCTTTCTGGCCACGCAGAAACGGTGGTTCAGGACACACTGACTCCGAGTCAGCAAAACCCTTCTGCCCGAGAGCCCCCCTAGTGCAGCAGGGAGAGGTGAAGCCCCGTCAGCTGGCGCGAATCCCTTGTGTTATAGACTTTAATCCTTCGTAAAACTCTTCCACGGAAAACCTTTCGGTAGCTACAGGGCTGAGCGGTTTGCTTCATTGCGTGTGAAACTAGTGTCTCCGACCGTGATGAGCCCGCACGGCCCCGGGGCTGCCGCAGCGCTCAGGGTCCCTCCGTGCAGCCGCA